TACTCCTGTAGGTGGCGCTATAACCATATGGTCAGGAATCAGAACAGCTGTGTCTGTCAATGAACTCAGAGAAAAGGAACAAAAATCTCATTTTTATAAAAACTCCCTGTTGGATAATAAAAACGCTGATCCAATCTACCCACAAAAAACAGGTTCGTACCCCGTTGGGTGCCAACAACACATCTGTACTTCCATTGGCAGCTGTTTCTCTCCATACTTCAAAAGCCATGCCTTGTTAAAGATAGAGGTGAGGGCATGGCTGCTGACTTTTGGGAAAAGTCTAAATTTGCATATCCTTATTGCTCTGTTCAGTCTTCAAATACAATGAAGCTAGCTACTCGGTAGCATCCATTTCAACAACTCTTTATTGTCTCTGTTCAGTCTACCGTGGGTGCACAGATTGGGGGGTAAGTAGTACTACATGTGAGGTCGCTGATGGAGTAGGCCATGAGGGTACCAGTCGGGTTATAGAAAGGTTCACATTTCAATGAAGTTAGCTACATCTTGTATTGCAGTTTTATTATTTTACTTATTCTTTGGCATTGCAGCCTGTGAATAACTTTGTGACTGATACAGTTATAGCAATCTACCTTTTTTTTTTTTTTTTTTTTGTACTAAAATTTTGACTGATAGCCTGGAGTTGCCCCCAAAAACTGTTTTGGCATAGTTCACGTTTTGTTAGCGGCTGGCCTAGGTCACATCATAAACTTAGGTGCTCAGAAGTCTGGCTTGTTTATACCGTGTTCCACAGCGGGGTAATTGGTAGTGGCAGGGACTCCTGACTGCTTCCATATGAACGGCCATGCTTGTGAATATGTATCAGTGTGAGCAGACAATAGAGGCCTTGTGTACAGAGAATGGATAGAAGATGTACACCTACTGGCTGCATAAATCTGTTCTCCTTATTTTGTACATCTGAGTTACAGCGGACCTAATGACAGAAACTGGTTATAGGCGGGCCTCTGTTCACACTGCCTGCTGTCATGAAACCATAAAGTGAGCTAGTTGCAATCCATTGACATTCACCTATTGGCACATTCTTAAGCAGTAAATGAGCTTTAGAAAATGTGCTTGTGATATCTGTAGCTGCAAGCACTGTAGAGATGTTCATCTTCAAAGTTTACAGAAAAAACCTTGAGGTTATGTCCTTCTCTCAGCAGGTCAGCACCCCTGTTTTTTTTTTTTAGCATTAATTTAGCAGCTCAGCTCCCCCTTCCACTGCTCACAGCAATGATTCAGCAGTTCTCCTCCCAGCAGTGATTCAGCTGTTCTCCTCCCAGCAATGATTCAGAAGTTCTCCTCCTCCAGCAATGATTCAGCAGTTCTCCTCCTCCCAGCAGTGATTCAGCTGTTCTCCTCCCAGCAATGATTCAGCAGTTCTCCTCCCAGCAATGATTCAGCAGTTCTCCTCCCAGCAATGATTCAGCAGTTCTCCTCCTCCCAGCAGTGATTCAGCAGTTCTCCTCCCAGCAATGATTCAGCAGTTCTCCTCCTCCCAGCAATGATTCAACAGTTCTCCTCCTCCCAGCAGTGATTCAGCTGTTCTCCTCCCAGCAGTGATTCAGCAGTTCCCCATTTCACCTGCCCCACCAGAAACTCAGCAGCTCAGCTCCCCCTGTATTCTCTCCCAACCACCTTCCAAACTTATAAGCTCTGATATCAGCACAGAAAAGATAATATGGGATGGAGAAAAACAGAAGACGTTGCTAAACCCTGGACCCTGCATTCACTATATCTGGTTTCCCCGGACCCTGAATTCACTATATCTGGTCTCCCCGGACCCTGCATTCACTATATCTGCTCTCCCCGGACCCTGCATTCACTATATCTGGTCTCCCCCGGACCCTGCATTCACTATATCTGCTCTCCCCGGACCCTGCATTCACTATATCTGGTCTCCCCCTGGACCCTGCATTCACTATATCCGCTCTCCCCCCGGACCCTGCATTCACTATATCTGGTCTCCCACAGTACACAGAACATGGAAATGCAATTACTTATAAATATAAACTGCTAAATAAATTTCTCATCAGCAGTTAGAGCAGTCTTGTGACTTCTATCAGTGTCCAACTGAGCACAGGTGAGAGGAGAGAACAGGAAGAGCTGAGTTGCTGAATTACTGCTGAGATGGGGGAGCTGAGCTTCAATGTCACTTTTGGGAGGGGGAAGCAGGGGAGCTTGGGCTTCAATGTCACTATTGGGAGGGGGAAGCAGGGGAGCTGAGCTTCAGTGTCGCTGCAAGGAGAGCAGAGCTGCAGAGCCACTGCTGAGAGGGGGAAGCAGGGGGAGCAGAGCTGCAGAGCCACCACTGAGAGGGGGAAGCAGGGTGGGTGAGAGAGGGGGAAGCAGGGGGAGCTGAGCTGCAGAGTCACTACTGAAAGGGTTAAGTCAGAATTGTTTGCAAGTCCAGTAATCCTTTCAGTATTCGTAAACCTTTTACAAGCAACCGATTTTCCTTTTAGTTATTATTTTCCTGACAAAGTGGCAAAAAGCAAACCTATTTAAACAGATAATCAGAAGTGTCCTCCAAGTCAGCCACCAAGTAAAACAAAGTTGAGTTTTTATCACCAGTCCCAACAATTCCCAGACTCTCTCTGTATTCGCTCCCCTCGGCTACAGCATTGTACAGAGTTTACTTTTGTGGCTTGATTTTAATTTATTCATTAATTTGCAAGCACTGCTGTGTTTTTTGTTTTTTTTTTTTTTTTTTTTTAAGTCAACATACCTATGCGTTTATTGATTCCTGTCCAATGGTGACCATTACCCACGATAACCCCCCCCCCCCCCCCCATCCTTGTCTGCTTGATCCATGTTGGCGCTGTATTAGGAACAGACTGTGTATGCCCTCGCTTGCCAACCCCTCTGGGTTCCATCTCATTGGCAGCATCGAGGAACGAAGGCTTTACAGTTTTGGTCTGCCTAATTAAAATTCAAATCTTGTAAACTCTGTAAAAATCAAGTACTTTTAGTTATTTGGCTTCTTCCCCCCTCCCGAAAAAAATTCTTTAATGGATTCTTTGGCTATTTTTTTCCTTTGCATAAGCACAACTGTCGTTTTGTTTGAGTCATTTAATCTGTCTGTGTCGTGGGCGCCTTTATTTACTTTGTGCTCCCGCATGCCCACTTTGTGTCAGCGTCCTGTCTTTGCTACACTGCGTCGCATTTCCTTTCCCAGGGAATTGTGTCCAGCTTCGGAGACGCGGGACGAAGGAGGGCGATTTCCACTGGACGTGGAAAGTGTGGGTGCCCTCATTGGCTGTAATGAGCTGTACTTTTGTTTATTCGACTTCCAGAACTTCACTCTGCCATGTATATTAGCACAGTATTGTCATTGTCAATATACAGGGACTTTGTTATACATGGCCAAAATGTAACATTTTGAAAGTAAATATGTTTCTACTGTATATCCCCACTCCAGTCGATCCTACACTCAGCGGCTAGACTCATCCACCTCACCAACCGCTCCACATCTGCCTCCCCCCTCTGCCAATCCCTTCATTGGCTCCGGATTGCCCAACGCATCAAATTCAAACTGCTAACTCTGACCTACAAAGCCATTCACAATGCCGCCCCGAACTACATAACTGACCTGATACCCAAATACTACCCTACCCGTGCCCTCCGCTCCTCACAGGACCTCCTACTCTCTAGCTCCCTGGTCTCCTCCTCCCATGCCCGATTGCAGGACTTCTCTAGGACTTCCCCCATCCTCTGGAACTCCCTACCCCAATCCATCAGAATGTCACCTACCCTCCTCACCTTCAGGCGCACCCTGAAAACCCTTCTCTTCAGGGAAGCCTACCCCAACTTCACCTAACACCCGACCTCACCTAACAACTAACCTCCTCCACTCCTCCCACCACTCCATCCCCCACAGCCATCTCCTCCTGTTCCACCTTCCCCTCCCTCCTAGATTGGAAGCTCGAAAGAGCAGGGCCCTCGAACCCCTCGTGTATTGCATTGTTACTGTCTTGTCTCATGTTCTGTCCCCCTTGCTACTGTACAGCGCTGAGCATACCCTTTGACGCTATATAAATACTGTATTATAATAATAATAATATTATCAGCCTTTCTCAACCTATTCAATACAGAGGAACCCTGGAAAAAACCTTCTGGTCTCAGGGAACCCCTGATTATAATTACAATATTTACATCTCATGAAAAATTGGTGCAATGGTCATTGGGAAGAATGCTTCTTACACTTGTCATCGGGAAGAATTAACCCCTTACAGATAGCTAAAAAGATCAATGGTGGGAACTTATCTGAGAGGCAGAAATTGCTCAAGGAACCCCTAGCAACATCTGGAGGAACCCTAGGGTTCCATGAAACCCTGGATGAGAAACCCTGTTCTGTATTGTTCTTTGAGGGACACAGTAAAGTATATTCCATACTACTGGTTATGGTGCCACCTTCAGGAGAATTGGATGCTAAAGAAAAAAAAAAGTGGGCAAACCCAAAGACCATAGCCCCCATCCCTACCAAACATGCTTTGTTTGAGCAAGCACTAGAGAAATTGACAGACAACCACATCAACAGGTCTACCCAACAAGATGTGAGGAAGCTGTGTCCCTCAATGACCATCAGAAAAAAGGATTTTATAGTGCAATGGAAAATTCATACAATGGAAAGCCCAAGAGCGACTTCGTGGTTAGCACATCTGCCTTTCAGGACTAGGGTTACTGGTTTGAATCCTGACTAGGACGCTACCTGCCCAAGCTCATATCTACTCATAGGTTGACAACCATTTATCTCCATGCTGGGTTGTCACGTACCAGCTGAAATTAGGCTTTAAGTGGGAGTACCTATGTTGATAAGGAGGGCGCACAGAAGGGAGGAGAGGACTTAAGGTGGGTGTCAACAGTGTATTGGTGTTCACTAATAGTTTATAGAAAAGGTAAAGCATGATTCATGTTCTCTGGGTTTTCCATAGCGTGTTTTGTGTTTGTATTGTGTTTATACTATCTTCATCAATTATTTATTTTTTTTATATCTCTTGTAGAAATGGAGCAGCGTGAACAACCCTCTCTTCCTGCCGCTGATCCCACCCCAGTCCCAAGGCTTTACTGCCGTGGTCCTGACATACGACCGCATCGAGAGCCTCTTCCGGGTCATTACTGAGGTGTCCAAAGTCCCCAGTCTATCCAAGCTACTAGTCGTGTGGAATAATCAGAATAAGGACCCACCTGAAGGTAACCTCTTCCACAGCAACTTATTTGAAGTGTACCTGTGCTTCGACCATGTAGGAGCCCCATCAGCTGCTTATGCTTGCCTTCCCATCTCTTTTTAGTTCAGGTCACCTAAAACTTGCGGAGTTATCCCTGTGTAAACTCCAAATCGCCAAGAATTCTCTCCCCATCCTCTTGTATCAGCACTGGGTGCCTAAGAGCCATACCCCAAGAACCAGTGGAGTAAGTCACATGTTCTCCCATATAGAGTAAGTCATGTCACTTTCTGGAGAAACAGAGTATCACAGGAGCAAAGGGAGGGAAAGTATGAATAGATATGGGGACTTGGATTAAGTCAACCTGTTACTTTGCCCTGCATAGGCATGCACTAGTTTACTCTATAGGGTTACCAGAAATGTTTTAGTTGATATTACACTGTAGGGCCACTGTAGATGCCTGACCTTGATCCTACAGAACACTTTTGGGATAAATTGGAAGGACAAGTGTGAGACATGATTTGGTGAGCTTGGTGTGGAGGAACACGAGAGTCCTGTCCTCAACCCTACTGAACAGCTTTGAGATACATTGGAAGGCCCATTGTGACACATGGTTTTGTGTGGAGGAACACAAGAATCCTGAACTCAGCCCTTCTGAACATCTTTGGGATACATTGGAAGGCCCATTGTGAGACATGGTTTGGTGAGTTTGCTGTGGAGGAACACGAGAGTCCCGACCTCAACCCAACTGAACACCTTTGGGATGAACTGGAAGGCCCATTGTGAGACATGGTTTGGTGTGGAGGAACACATGCGTCCTGGCCTCAGCCTTACTGTGAACACCTTTGGGATGAACTGGAATGCCAATTGTGAGACATGGTTTGGTTAGTTTGGTGTAGATGAACACGAGAGTCCTGACCTCAACCCCACTGAACACCTTTGAGGTAAACTGGAAAGCCCATTGTAAGACATGGTTTGGTGTGGAGGAACACGTGCGTCCTGTTCCCAACCTTACTGAACATCTTTGTGATGAACTGGAAGGCTCATTGTGAGACATGGTTTGGTTAGTTTGCTGTAGAGGAACACAAGAATTTTGACCTCAACCCTACTGAACACCTTTGAGATGAACTAGAAAGCCCATTGTGAGACATGGTTTGGTGTGGAGGAACACGAGACTCCTGACCTCAACTCTGCTAAACATCTTTGGGATACATTGGAAGGCCTATTGTGAGACATGGTTTGGTGTGGAGGAACACGTGCGTTCTGGCCTAAACCTTACTGAACACCTTTGGGATGAACTGGAATACCAATTGTGAGACATGGTTTGGTTAGTTTGGTATAGAGGAACACAAGAATCGTGCCCTTAACCCTACTGAACACATTTGGGATACATTGGAAGGCCCATTGTGAGCCTGGTCTTCTCATCCAACATTGGTACCTGACCTCACAAATGCTGTTTGGCTGAATAGTTACAGATCCCCCCTGACACCCTCCAAACTCGTCTCAGAAGAGTGGAGACTGTCATACACACAAGTGGAGACCTGGACAGCAGACCTTCTGCTACTTACAAATTCCACTTTAACGGATTTGTGTCTGGAGTTCAATTTTCAAAATGCTTGTCCCATATTGCATGTTTTTTCATTAAAAAAAAGTATGCAAAACTGCACATTAGACTAACATTATTCCACCCCAAGGGGCCTGCACATAGCTGTACCTAGTTGAACTAATATTACTGGAGTCCAAGACCTGTAAGTAGGCAGTCCTGTAATGGGAGCAGTTTTGTTATTGGCAGCTTCTCCGTGTTACCACACATGCTGAAAGTTGAAGTAAGTCTTGCAGTGAAAATGTGTCCGCTCTGCTTAATAACTGTCCAAAGATGCTAAGTAATCTAAAGCAGTTCAGGCAATAACCGCAGAATCTGCGTGCTTTGAAAAGTGTTGTCACCCTCCTATTGCCACGTATAGCACAGTAGTGGTGGGGGATCCGAAGAGGATGTGCAAGTCCTGCACCAGGTAAAACTATTCCTGTATTTGCTTTCCATGTGTGTTGAAATTGCCCTTTACGAGGCAGTCACAGGTTTCGCTCCAGCTCCTATCGCTATGTAATGGTCCTCATCATTTAAAGGCTGCTGTCATTTAATGACCATTAAACGCAGGATGTTTCTGAGAAGTTAAGCCTGAGGAATGAGTTTGAAGTCAGTATTACTCCTGACAGTGGCAGATAAGAGCGCTCCCCCTTCCCCTTCCCCATGACTCCTCTGAGATCACCTTTTTATGACCGCCCCCCCCCCCCCCCCCCCCCCCCCCCTGTAATTGCACTGGGAAAATAGATGACTTTAGTAGTATTCCACCTTCCAGCCTGTGACAACAAGAATTTCCCAACCTCCCTTCTACATCTGAAAGAGCCATACAGTGAGCAGACTGAACAATAAAAACTTTTAGCACTTTTTAGAACTAATGGAGGGATGTACACTGGGAGGGGCAAAGATTCATTCACCCTTGTGTAAAAACAATCGCCATATATACAACCGCTCCAGTGGTTATTTTCAGCTGGACTCCATCCTTCCGTTCAGTCTTGCTTAGTTGCACAGGCTCCTCTCCTGTACTGATATTGCTTACTCTGATTTCCCTGCATGCTGTGAGCTTCTTGCAGCGTGCACTAGAAGTTGCAGCAAGCCATTTGCTGGCTGGATGAAAACCAGAATCATCTAGCACTTTCCTGCCCAGCCTGACTGTCCCTCGCCCTTTCCTTTGAGTCACTGGATTTCAGTTACATAGTTAGTCTGGCTGAAAAAAAGACAAAAGTCCATCCAGTTCAACCATTAAAAAAAAAAGTTATAATCCTACACCCACAGTTGATCCAGAGGAAGGAAAAAACCCAGCAAAGCACGATCCAATTTGCTCCTGCAGGGGAAAAAATTCCTTCCTGATCCCCCGAGAGGCATATTCCCTGGATCAACTTTACCTATAAATGTTATATTCAGTTATATTCTGTGTATCCAAGAAAGAATCCAGGACTATTTTAAAGCAATCCACTGAGCTGGCCAGAACCAACTCTTGAGGGAGTCTATTCCACATTTTCACAGCTGTTACTGTGAAAAAACCTTTCCGTATTTGGAGATTACATTTCTTTTCCTCCAGACGTAAAGAGCGCCCCCTTGTCCTCTGTGATGACCTCAGGGTGAATAACTCTACACCGCGTTCACTATATGAACCACTGATGTATTTATACATGGTGATCATATCCCCCCTTATGTATTATACATGGTGATCATATCCCCCCCTTATGTATTATACATGGAGATCATATCCCCCCTTATGTATTATACATGGAGATCATATCCCCCTTATGTATTATACATGGAGATCATATCCCCCTTATATATTATACATGGAGATCATATCCCCCCTTATGTATTATACATGGTGATCATATCCCCCCTTATGTATTATACATGGAGATCATATCCCCCCTTATGTATTATACATAGATATCATATCCCCCCTTATGTATTATACATGGAGATCATATCCCCCCTTATGTATTATACATGGAGATCATATCCCCCCCTTATGTATTATACATGGAGATCATATCCCCCTTATGTATTATACATGGTGATCATATCCCCCCTTATGTATTATACATGGTGATCATATCCCCCCTTATGTATTATACATAGATATCATATCCCCCCTTATGTATTATACATGGAGATCATATCCCCCCTTATGTATTATACATGGTGATCATATCCCCCCTTATGTATTATACATGAGATCATATCCCCCCTTATGTATTATACATGGAGATCACATCTCCCCTTATGTATTATACATAGAGATCATATCCCCCCTTATGTATTATACATGGAGATCATATCCCCCCTTATATATTATACATAGGAGATCATATCCCCCCTTATGTATTATACATGAGATCATATCCCCCCTTATGTATTATACATGAAGATCATATCCCCCCTTATGTATTATACATGGAGATCATATCCCCCCTTATGTATTATACATGGAGATCATATCCCCCTTATGTATTATACATGGTGATCATATCCCCCCTTATGTATTATACATGGAGATCATATCCCCCCTTATGTATTATACATGGAGATCATATCCCCCCTTTATACATGGTGATCATATCCCCCCCTTAATCTCCTTCTCAATAGAGAATTGATTCAGTTCCTCTAATCTTTCCTCATAGCTGAGCTCCTCCATGCCTCGTATCAGTTTAGTTGCCCTTCTCTGTACTTTCTCCAGTTCCCCAATGTTCTTTTTGTGAATTGGTGGCCAAAACTGAACTGCATATTCCAGATGAGGTCTTACTAATGATTTGTACCGGGGGCAAATGATATCTCTCTCTGGAGTCTATACCTCTTTTAATACAAGAGAGGATTTTGCTCGCTTTAGAACCCGCAGCTTGTCATTGCATGCCATTATTAGGCTTGTGATCTACTAGAACTCCCAGATTCTTCTCCACCATTGATTCCCCCAGTTGTACCCCCCCCCAGTATGTATGATGCATGAATATTCTTATCCCCCAAAGTTCTTTCAATCGTGAAGGCTCAGCATCACCTAGCCTGCCTTGAAACACCTTTTCTTTCAGCCTGACATCAACCCATCAAGACATTTTAATATTTGCATAACTCCTCCCAAGAGCCGGCCCACTGCTTGCATCATTGCAGAAAATCATCAGTCACTGAACTATGTGTGAACGAGCCCTTTAAAATAAAAGCTTCAGCTTTGAAAATGATTAATAGCAACTTTTAAGATGACATTACCGTGTTAAAGCTGAATTCAGGGCGCAAAAATGTTAAATATACCCAGATATTACCTTGTACAAGTAGCAGTGACATCATACCTGTGCTGTACATAGCCTGTGAGAGAGAACAGAGCTGTGGGAGGGGCTCAGCAGGTCCCGTCCACTCCAGGCTGCCTGTGAAAAACTGCAGGAGGGGGCGGAGACAAGACCAGTCTACCTGCAAAAAGAGAGAGAGTAGCAGTGACC